ATATATGTATATTAATACAAAATATGTAGCAAAAACGAATTTTCTACTAATAAAACTTTTCAATAAAGAATGAATTTCTTGAATTCGTTGGGTATAAGATAGAAGTAACATAAAAATATTTAATTTTTGATGTTGGTATGCCAAAATTTCCATAAGCGCCAATGTTAAAATTCATCTTGTTAACCTTATTTGACAACGCAACAGTATTAACAACTTTTCAAAGTTACATGAAATTCGTAACAAGTCGAATTAACACTGAAATCTGTACTTGGTTAAAATAATTTGATAATATTTTTAAACCTTTTTTTTTTTATTCAGAGAAAAGGTTTCAACGACAAGTCTTAGAAAATTAATAGACAATAACTTTGGATCGATTCGTAAGGTCTTAATAAGATCCAATTTTGTTAATATGCCAATACAACACGTATGAACTTAAAATTATCTCTTGAGAACATTCATCGAAATTTTTGTATTTCAATTTTATATATTATATTTTGAAACAGGATGAGTATATAACTCGTAAATTTAAGTTTTCCAATGGGAGGATAAGAAATTTGAAAAAAGTATTTAGTGCCAACAACAGTTTGGTCTTATATCATGACAAAACGTTGAGGATTGATATGAACTTAGTCTGGAGTGATGTCCAAGTGAGTAATTTTTCAAAAAATATATTTTTATACTATGTTTAACATAGCTATTTAATCGAACGAATCTGAAAAAATTTATCTTTGATAAATTATTATTTTTTCAATCAAATAAGAGAGGGATAGAGAGAGATAACTATAAAATATTCAGTAAATAATTGTAATTTTTGTTTCACACTGGATCTTATTTGGTCGAAGTATTACCTTCTAAAATAATAGTTTGTAATGCACATATTTATCGTCGAAACTGTATACATGTAAAATCTTAACTTGATTAATCCTTTTCACTCAACTTTTGATTCATTTATTTCCTAATGACCCGTTAAACATAACTTTTAAAAGTTTTACAAAACGAAAAAGACTATACGAATTCCTAATATCATTAAAAAAGCATTTCTAAAATAATTCTTTAATATCTAAAGTAAAATATTGATCACCGTAAATTTAACCTTTTATTAAAATTAAGTTGTCTGGTATATAGATTTATGTTTTTAAGAACCTTGAAAGTTCTTGTACGGTTGCAATAAACTGTATTTTTTTAAATGAATCGTCAGCCGCACAAAGTTGTAAGTTCTAATTCTAGAATGGATCCTGTATGTTTTATATTTTGTTATGGCACAGAGTAATTTTTTTTATGACACCCGTAGTATATATTATACTGATTAATGTATCCTTACATTAACAGAACATAATTTTAAGTTATTGCAAAAATGTGAAAATTCGAGTACGTGATTCTAAAATAAATAAGTGTAGCTGTTGTCGGGTGGGGTCCGAAATAACGACAGTTCACTCAAATTTTGCAGTAAAACTATGAATGCTCATTTCAGCGACGTGTATTCCGACGACAACGATAGCTCAGTGCAGCGACTATTCAGTATTTCGACAGCCAATCATAAGGCAGTTTACTTTGACATTCTTCTTATACTGCTTCGTGATTGGCTGTCGAAATACTGAACAGTCGCTGCACTGAGCTATCGTTGTCGTCGGAATACACGTCGCTGAAATGAGCATTCATAGTTTTACTGCAAAATTTGAGTGAACTGTCGTTATTTCGGACCCCACCCCTGTTGTCGAGGTTTCGTCTGTATCTGTAACTTACCTCATAGCGCTACCAGTGCCGTTTAGTGGATATTTGACATTTTCGTTACATCAGATTACCTTCCTTACGTCAACAAATAACTGTAGAAAAAGCACCGTATTATTATTACATGAATTTGTCTCTTATTAACTGATTCACCATTGATTTTTACAGTTTACGAGCAACGTTGATTGGAAAGATTTGCTATGGTCTTGCACAGAAACTTATGAGGTTCATTTGGATGATTTGAAAGCTAAAATAGTAATTAGTGTGGATTTTGAAAATTACATAGTGAAGTTAGAATACTTTAAATTCAATAGTGAAGTGTAAGGTTTATTCACTCTCAATTTATTTTTAAAGCTACTTATTTGGTTGTAATGAATTTACTTTTTTTTTTCTCATTAGAAACGTCCGAACTATTTATAAATACACTTATGTTTGTACAGACATTGAGTTTTTATTATTTGAACTTGATTTTCAAGAATACTTAAAAAACCAGGTGTTGACAACGTTAAAAGCAGAAGTGGTTCGAAATATTGAAAATGCCATCGTCAGTGCAAATATATTTTTCAGCAACCACAGGAGTAAAAATATAACGTTTGAAAATGTTTTAAATAATTTTGGTGGTAATGAATACGAACTTATTGCAATTTGATGTTAAATTAAATAAATGCACAAAATTAAAAAAGCTCCCTTTTACTTTACACCTCATTTTATCATAAAAAATATCCAGTAAGTTACAATTTTAATACTTTATAGATATAAAATTCATCCAGTCATAGTTTGCCAAGAACTCAAATTATTACAGAATTAAACAGATTTTTTTTTTCAATAATATACACTTAACTTGAGCACGTATTGTCACATCAGAGAGTCAGTGCAGTACCATAATAATCACTCTCTTGGGTATTCACTGTATTCGCTCTGTGCACAAACGGCAAAAATTAGAATCTCGACACCCAAATCCCATTTAAAATACATATATTCACCGACACTAGCGCCAAAGTGACGGATTTTTGGGTAGAACATTAATTCTAAAACTGCCGCAAATGGCACGTCCGTCTGAGTTGCAGCTAGTTTATAAAACATGCCATATGGTACTACTATGATTACAACACAACTCTTCACCAGAATGAAATATATCAAAAATATTTCGGGTCTCAAAGAATCATAACGTTTCTCAAATTAGGAATGTGGCGGCTGGTTTAGATTTTCGACCACCCTTGGGCTTCAGCTCTTGGTCTATTAAGCCTTTTTGGCACGAATCCAATTGAGAAAGGGTTGGAGAACTTTCTTTGATGCAATCCACGCACTCCACAGCTCTTTTTTGCAGACGTGTGATACACTGGCCAAAGAACTTTTTATTCGAAAAGTTTTGAATAATGGGCTTGTTTCTAGCATCAAGTGGCGCTAGTGTCCCAGGTAAAAATTTCCATCATTTCCATGGGAGTATACCTATATATTGAATATGTCATGCACCCCGGCCATCTAATACGTATGTGTCCGTGTCCCCCCATTTCTATCGGTTTTAGTGTTTTACCCACTGAAGGATCATTCCTTACGAAGATCGACAATCGATCTTTTATATCGAATGTTGAATCATGTATATCTCACTTCTCATTTGAATTTGATTAGTCGATTGGCCGATATAATAGAAGATCGAGAATCGATTTTCATCACTTGTCCTTCTTCCGCACGATAGAAAGAAATAAAAAAAAGTATTTTAATCTTCGAGTCCTTCAATGTAAACAATTGGCAGATAATTAATAAGTATGGCACTCTTGAGGTAATGTTATTGTTTTTACAGGCCCAATTCGCTAACTTTTCACTCTGTGTGACTGTATGAGAAAAGTTAGTGAATTATCCCCCATCTAAATATATACTAACGTGAAAAGTATTTTCTGAGAATTTTGGTATTATAGGGTTCACTACAACGAGCTAAGACGTTTAATGTTAAAAATCATTGCTAACCGCACACATCAATACCAAATAATGCATGTATTAGTTTTATATACATTTAGTGCCAAGTTTTTATGTGAGTAATTATTCATTACAGTAGAATTTAAAAAAAAAATGAGTTGTTTTTGCCTATTAGGGCATTGAGATTTGAACCTCATTGAATTCAATGTTTTAACATTAATATCAAACTGAGAAAGAGAAGTCACAATTGGTTTTTTTAAAACAGTTAAGTGCTAGTCAGAGGTGAGATTTTTCAGAGTAATTAATGCAATTACACTTTGCAGACCTATTTTTTCCCAAATTAATAAATTATTAGTACTTTTTCTAACCTCTTGGAGTAATCTACTTGAAATTACTTTAATTTCAGATAAAATACCTCTTTAGTCACAACTGAGTGGATAAATTCTTGATGTCACGTACCACATCAACACTACACTTCGACCTCAATAATAAGTATTGGAACTATGCTGTCTACCAGGTGTGATAGGTACCTGTTGAATGTTAACATTTACAGCTGTTTTATAATAACTTAATATATATTTGATTATAGAACAGATTCAAGATGCCAGGACCTGTGCATGTTCATGTACATTCAAGTACATCTCAGCGCAATGAAAGTTCTACAAAAAAGGATGACTTTGGGAGATATTTGCAGAAGCACACCGACCATCCCTACTTTGAATGTGACCACTGCAGAAAAACTTTTAATAATAAAGACAATCTCACTGCTCACATACTTGAGCACATGAATAATCAACGTTTGAAATGTGTAAAGGTTTATTTGAATGAAAAAAGTCTTGGACAACACTTTTTGGTAAACCCGCGCAAACATCGATTTGAATGTCAATTGTGCGGTAAAATATATTCAAGTAAAGAAAATCTCCAGGCGCACATTCGCATTCACACTGAAGAACGTGCGTATGGGTGCCAAATCTGTCATAAAGCCTTCTATTCTAAACAGGCTTTGAAAAAGCATACTACAATACATGCAGAGAAACGTCCTTTGTATATGTGCAATATTTGTGATAGATCTTTGAAGCATAAGAATTCCCTCGTGGCACATGTGCGGCTACACACTGGTCAGCTTCCATACAAGTGTGCCATATGTGACAAAGAGTTTAATCATAAAAGTCATTATGACAGTCATGTACGCGTACACACTGGTGAATACCTTTATCAATGTAAAATTTGTGAAAAATCTTATAATACAAAATATTGTTTTCAAAACCATACTCTTAAATATCACGACAAGGAGTCGAAAACTTACTCCGAAAAACTTCATTTCAATGGCAATTCATGTAATAAAATCTTTTATCGTGAATCTAGTTTAAATATTAACAAACAGACACATACGAGTATGAAAGATTCTCGCTACACTTGCAAAGTGTGTAATAAAATTTATAGCCAATCATACAGTTTGTTGAGGCACTTGAGAATACACACCGGTGAACGCCCATATAAATGTAAAATTTGCAGCAAAGCATTTTATCGTGTGGATTATCTTCGTGACCACGTACTCAAACACAATCGTTGAAAACATTTCCACATAATCTTTACACTTACTTATTAATCAAGTATTACATCATCAACAGATGCACTCAATCACACAGTGTTTTTCACAGAATATGAATCATATAATAGCGAAAAAATTTACTTTTGTAATCTAAAGGCACATCTAAAAAGATCCAACATTAAACACGCATGAAGAAAAATAGTATCAATAATTTTTAGTTGTATAGTGATGCGGGCTCAGATCCATTTGACGACTTAATACTTCTTGTACGAATCAATACATCAATGTATATTGTTTAATACAAATAATCGTTACATCATAATCCACTGGACTGCTTGTAGTCTATTAGATTTTGAAATTTTCAGACTACATGGTAGATCTGCTATTTTTTTTTCAAAGTTATGTCATATGTATTACGAATAAGTAAACAAAAACTTCTATTTAATCATAGTAGTCTACTACCCTCATTAGACTATTTTCTTGAGATATTTGAGTTAACTGTGTTAATAGTTAAAAAAAAAAAATTCAATGGGCACGAAGATCAATGACAAATAGGATGTAATACTTTAGTGCACTTAGAAAGTTTTTTTTTCTCAAGTAGCTCTGAACCTGAAAGATGCGCCTTGAATGGCCACTGCTCATTAATTGTACCAGTGAGACAATTCTATTGTAGGTCAGTATAGTAACTTTAAGACATATATGTATAGATAGTCTTCACTAATGAATGCACTATTGTACGCCAAAGACTGAATTATACTAATGTATATTAGTATAGTTTATTAAAGGTTTTATTTATCATACAAGCTTATGCGTGCAAACATAATTGTAAAGAACATGTGGAATCTTTGTAACTGCCATTTGTGTATTTATATAGTATTTTTTGCGCTGCTTTTTTTAATCATCGTGTATTTTTGATAATGGTTTTGAGAAATAAATCGTAAAATTAACGAATTTCTTTCTGCTATGTGTCATTACTATCTTTTACTTTTCTTAGTTAGTCACATTTTATCATTTAGTCTCACTGTACACTTGTAAACAATTTGCATTTTTCAAAATCAATGAAAACTTATAAACAACTCAAGCCTCATAAAAGAACATTACAAATGTTACAAAATTAATTTCAATGTCAATTTTTTTTAACATGTTGAATAGGTCAAAGTTATGCATTGTTATGTGCCTCAAAAAATTTTTCGTCTATCCTTAATATTTTTCAACGCTTAAAAATGTTCACACTCATTCATAATTATTGACAGATATCTCAAATAAAGATTCAAAGACGGAACATTAGTTTTGAGAATCCAATGGAAATTTGTCCTCAAATAAAACATTGACCGTTATTGTGAAAGATTTCAACATTTTCAAAATCAACGAAGTTCGAAAAAGTACAAAAAAAAGGAATCTCCAAATGCACGTCCAAATCGTGCAACAGACTCCAAGGCTGCCTGATCAGGGCCCTATGTCAGTGAACTATTCTCTATCCTAACCTAACTCGTAAAAAGAAATAATCAAATGCAGTGCACGCGCGGGCAACCGGCAATAACCAATAACAAATACAAACGAGGGATTCTTCGAGTGAACTAGGTATAATTATTCTAAGTATATCTCTTAATCATTAACATTTTTGTGAACAATACTAACCTGTGATTATCGCGAAAATCGTTCACTTTAATGTTATGTTTGTTTATTTCACGTGTAATTACACTGCGTCGACTATGCCCTGTGTTTTTCGATTTTTTTTTCGCTTCTTGCTTGTCGAGAATGTTGAGACAGTTCCATTAGTTTTTTGAAAATAAGTATCTTTTTTTTTTTGCAGGAACAGCCGCTTCAGTTTGCACTACTAACGAGCGACTGAAATGATTCTTTAATCAAATTTGGTAAAGAGAAAGGTAAGCTCCGTCAAATGTTATTTGTCATTAAAATATGAAAATCGTCTTTCAATCACATTTATTCCCCAACAGCAAATCAGCTGTTACTGAACTTATCGCGAAGCTTTTCGACAAAGCGACTGTTTACCAGAAGTAACATGAATTCTAAAAAGCAGAGGTACAAAGTCTACGATTGTGCGTCATGTGAATCATCGTTTGACGAAAGAGCTGATCTGAGCAGTCATAAGGTCAAAACGCACTCCAAGGAGCGTATCTACGAGTGCAGTGAGTGCGAAAAAGCCTTTTTTTGGAAGCACAATCTCGACAGGCACGAGTTTCTTCATACCAGGAAGCGTCCTTTCAAGTGTGGAATATGCAAAAAGTCTTTTGCCCGTAAGGACTACCTCACGAGTCATCGTAGGTTGCAGCACACCAATGGGCCCAAGTACCACTGTGATCATTGCGAGAAGGTCTTCAAGGTCAAATCTCAGCTCAGAATCCATATGAACAAACACGCAGACGAACCACGTAAGTTCTCTTGTACTAAATGTCCAAGAGTCTTCAGATCTGAATATTTTTTGAAAAAACACACCCTTGCCCACACTAATGGATCCCTTTTTGAATGCAAGAAGTGCAAAAAAACATTTGACAGCGTATTAGACTACAATGAACACAAAATCGATGATCACGGTGATCCTTCCCATAGTTTTCAATCTTTGGATTCTGATGACGATAATATTAATCGTATTTCGTCTTCTGACAGTTCTGTGTGCAATAACAGTTTTCTATCTACTGATTCTGATGATGCTCCGAGTTTAATATGTATTTCTAATTCTGATTCTGATTCTTCGTAATCATTGACCCTTTAATCTGATAACGTTGGCTTTTTGAAGTTCATCTGTATCAAAATGCATGGTGACTGTTTCAGTTTTTCAATTTTATAGAATATGTTTTTATACTAATTATTTAACTTTTTCAACTGCTAAATTAGAAAATGTCTTACCAACATTAAATCTTTGAATCTGATCATGTAAGCAATCATGAGCTATCAGAAATGTTTATTTATTTATTTATTTATTTTTTTCAAGTATCGAAAATAGAAATCGTTTTATTCTATTATTTACCAAGTCCAAGAATAGATACCATAAGAGTTAGTTACGTAAATTAATATAACGTGTTATTGAAAACAGATCAAATGGATGCATAAGTGTTATACTAATTTATAAATGTATTGAACAAAGTTCGTTATAAATATATATGTAATAGGTACATGTCAATATATGTAAAAAAAGTTAAATAAACATAATTTTGATTACAAAATTTTAGTCCTTACCATTTTATTTATTTTTCTTGAGATTTCAAATAACTAAGTATATCCATAAAAAAACGGTATACCGTTATTAACTTTAACAACACTAAGCACAAATAAAAATATGAAAAAATGTTTTAACTAAGTTGCTTGCTATTAAATGTCTAAAATATAAAAAATTTTTAGGACTATAACTAATAAACCAAGTGACTTTATATATCTTGATAACTTAACTTAAATATCCGAAAAAAACACCAAAAACTGAATACTTTCTGGAGCTTTTAACTTATGTGCTGTATTACTTTGAAAAAAAGTAACTATGAAAATAATAAGGAAATTCTATAAAAACGAACTGCTCTGCATATCAAACTAGATTTAAGATAGCAAAATTTAAAAAATCCATCTTTGAAATGTAAAAATTACATTTATCATTATTGTTTGTACAGCAAAAGTAACTGTTAAGATTGTAAAAAATTATAATTGATACTGCAACAGCTATCAACCTTACCTCCAACTTTTAATTGTAGCTAAACAAGATCAATTAATTTTTGCTGTTCCAGCACAGTAATTTTCCCTGTTTTAACCATAATTTTATTGGTAAACCTGCATTTTTCACTGTTCAAAGTTCAAACAATCATTATTCTCATTCTGTCATATCAAATCTGGCTTACTATGCAAAAAAGAATTTTTCCGCCCTCGGGTGGTTTTGGGAGGCTCGTACTTCCTCGGGCGAAAAAGCAGTTTTCCGGAACTCGTTCGAAAAGTCTCCTTTACGAACCTCGTTACGTCCCTCACCTTCGGCTCGGGCCGCAAACCTCTCGGTTCGCAAACAAAGACTTTTCAAACTCGTAGGAAAACTACTATTATTTAAGTATTTTCCCTGTAGAAAAATAATTTTATTCAAAAAATTTATTCAAAAACATAAATTAAAATTCTGCACATGGTAATAAAATAAACAAGTACTTTTATTCAAAACGCACAATACTCTGTAGTTACTACTTAGCTACTTTCGTATTTATTTACATGCTTCTGAAACTCATTGTTGAAAAATTTTTGATCAATTATTGCAAAGTACTTGGCTATTACATAACAATTTGTAGGAAGAGTCTCACATACATTGAGAATAATAAACCAATTATTTATCATTGCACAAAATTTACTGTTCCACTTTATATACATTGTACATGAAATTTTAATCAAAAAAATTTGCTTTATTATTGTATGGTTGATTCAACATTATTGATCAACAAGTTCAAATTCATTTTGTTGAGGCTGCTCATCATAATTATTGTTGAACTTGAATTGTCCGTTGTTTTGATTATTGAAAAGTGAATTTACGCTAAAAATGTGGTCTATATTTTTTAAGATTTCTGTTTCCATGGACGTCGAAACATATCTTATCACGTGGTTTTTAAAGATAGTTTTTAATATATAATAAACCAACGGGCACCAATGGGTACTTTTATGCCATATTATGTCTCTGTTACAAAGAAAAAGATTAATTTCCAATTAATGGACAATTATTTATAAAAAAAACAAAAGAAAATTTTCTTACGCTTCATTAATTGTTACATGAACGTGTCTCAGAGTCATTATTTCATTTCCTAAGTCCGCTGATATTACAATTTTTGCTTTTAACCGAGTCAAAGTAGCTGTAAAATTAGTTATGCAGTATTTATTTCTTCCAAGCGTTTTAAATGCAGTTTCTACCTGAAATATTAACTACTTTAATTCATATCAACATTATCAAACATAATCGTATCGCATAAGTTATAAATAATGTGGAATTTCAAATTTTTTTATTTTAACTATAGGGGGCTTTGCCTCCTACGCGCCAACCCCCGAAATTTCATCAAATCCTAATATTTTTTATAATTTTTCGAAAAAATTACACTAAGAAATAATTTTTTAACAATTTTTTTCATCCCTATAGAAGTATGTGTTATACTAATTTAATTTATTTTGTCAAAATTTTATTTTTTCATGTTTCCGCTTTAAAAATTATATGATTCGTCTAAACCAATAACATCACGAAATTTGAGACAGAAAAAGACACTGAGGCTGTTCGG